TTATATATACATAATAAATATACACAGTACACACACATATTATGTTAACACAATTTTATTTTGGATGCGATTAATCCCAATTAATCGTTTGACACCACTAGTTTATATTATATTAAATGATATAAAATTAGACTAAAATAAAAAATATGAAAATTATTTATTATATAAAAAACTTATTACATGTGTGTATATAATATATATATATATATATATATTAGTAAAAACATTACATAAAATGATTGTAGAACTCATGAATTGAAAAGAGCCCATTCCTAAATCCTGAATTTTCTTTAACCCTGGTGCCTTGTTCTTTTATGAATAGTATGTGTATTTGTATTATATTATATTATTAAATTACAAATTACATTTTTTTTAAACCCTGAATATCTTTTGTAAAATAGTTTTACAAAAGTGCTTACAGTTCTCCACTGTGCAACACTCTTTACATAATGTTTGTATTTACTAATTTAAAAAAACTATATTATTGTACATTTTGAATCCATTAACTCAAGGTGAGACCATTCGTATTGTGATCGAGGACTATGTGCAGCATCTGAGTGGTTACCGCCTGAAGCTCAACTTTGATCCCACGCTGCTGTTCACCTCACAGTTCCAGTACCAGAACCGCATTGCTGTGGAGTTCAATCAACTTTACCACTGGCACCCGCTCATGCCTGACAGCTTCCAAATCGATGGAGAAGACATTCACTACCCTCAGTTCATTTTCAACACCTCTGTCCTCACCCACTACGGGGTGGAGAAACTGGTTGAGGCCTTCTCAACCCAACCCGCTGGACAGGTAATAGCACCATGAGGGCTGTGGGGGTTTAATGACTTAAACATCTGCTCCAAAAGAGAAACAAAGAAACCCGGTTTCATAATGAGGTGCAATGACCCTTGGGCTGTGTCTGAGCTACATTTCCTTAAGGAAGTTAGTATATTGTAGGTTCTTAAGCCTTGGTCTGTTTTTGTCATTTCAAGGGTAATTTCCGATGAGTTTACCA